GGGTGACTTGTTAATTTCGCATCCCCCAAAACATGCCAGGCACTGCCAAACCCCTCTGCCTTTGCTGTGTCTGCTTTCTTAGGCTGAAACATCCTTCTATCCTCACCTCTTAACATGACTCCATCTTTTTTTCTCAGTTTTTATTTTTTATTAACTCACGGTGCAGTGTAGGAGGATTACTTCCCTCCTCGGGAGTTGGTACCCGTGCGTGACACATCTTAACTTTTTCATCCCCTTTCCCTCCCCATCCTGCCCTTTCCCTTCAAATCTTGGTTCCTTTCCCACTTACAAAAGATCTATCTCCCTATTTCCTAGTATCTATCTTTCATTTTGATCTTTATTTCTATTTTTGGTTCCTTATATAGGAGAAACTATGTGACATTTAAGCTCGTGTCTCTAAGTCATTTCACTTCACGTCATCTTATTGTCCTATAAACAACACATGATTACCTTTCTTTATGGCACAGTAGTACTCCCTTATGTATAAACACATTTTCTTTATCCATTTATCTGTTGGTGGACATATAGGCCATTTTCAAGAGTTAGCTATTATGAGTTCTGTTGCTATAAACACAGGTATATGTATATCACTGTAATACCATGTCTTTAACTCTTTCGGGAGGATCACTCAAGGGGAATAACTGGATTCAATGAAATTGCTATTTTTAGTTTTTTGAGGAATCTCCATGCTGATTTCCACAGTGGTCATACTAGTTTACATTTCCACCAATAATGTAGAAGGGTTCTTTTTACCCCTATAGCCTGGCTCACAGCAAACACCATCTCTGTTCTAAAATGTCATTTCTTTCCTTTTAGTAGAATTACATACTACGTTCTGTGAACTTCCCCAGCTTTTGGCTTGTGTTTTTATAATAATGACCCTGAATTAAACAGAGATGTGGCCAGCATCATTCTAGGTGCTTTCTGTATGTCTCATGTAGTCTGCGCTACAAACGGGTGAGATACTGTACTACTAGAAATCTCATTTTACAAACGGGAAAATTGAAGTTCAGAGAGTTGAACTCACCAATGATCGTACAACTAGAGAGGGATACAATCATAAGTCCAACCATCCAATCACATTCTGACAGCTCCCTGAACATGTCACCCTGCCATGTTGCCTTTCTAGGTCACAAGGTAAATATATATATATGTGTGTGTGTGTGTGTGTGTGTGTGTGTAAAATCTGTCCCTCCCATGGGACTATAGTAAATCCTTTGATGACAGGGACAAAGGCATGTTCATTTTTATAAATGTGGACAATATGCAAAGTTCCTTAAAATGTAGCAATACATATAAAGTACTTATTATGTCAGGTACATAGTAGGCAGCCAATAATCTATCAGTGTTTTTGTTAGCATGTCAGACACTAAGACTCTGTATATAGCCTTGTACATAAATTCAAAGCTGACTTTATTTCAGAGGAACAAATGAAATAGATAAGAATCTGATGGAAAAGACAAGTGCTGCTTTGGTTTGGCATTTCTCATACTATTTCATTACTCAATCCAAAGCAACAAGAGTTAAGCAAGTTTCTATGCTAGGATCACTTGATTTCTTTACCTTCGTGTCACACATGATTGTCAGGGAAATTTCCTATTTAGTTCAAACCCCCTGCAGCTTTGTCATTATGTTGTAGTCTAAGCTGCCCATCGGAGAAGTAAGTACTTGGGTTGACTTCTATGGTTCTGAGCTCAGAGAAGAAGAAAATCACAAAAATAAATCAAGCCACACTTGGCAAAACAATATCTAAAATGTCTGAAAGTATAGCTCAGTGGCAGAGTGCTTGCTTAGCATGGTTGAGGTCCTGGGCCCAATCCCCAGCACTGAAAAAAGTATAAAATAAAATAAGAAAGTCTGGTGCTAGAGACATAATGAGACACTCTCTTTTGTCTTCATAACATTGAAAAGTACAGCAAACCACTACTTTTTTCCTTTTAGCTTTTATCTGTCATTCCTTAGCAAGAAGTAGGCTTTCTTAGAGGAGATAATTCTCTCTGCTATATACCCTTATCTTCCTGGGCTTAACACATATGTGGTAGATAGTAATCACTCACTAAATACTTCAAGTGACTAACTGTAAATATTTGTATGCACGCATATGCCTATGTATATATATATACAGGCAGATGACAACATTCCATTATTTTTAAATAAACCTGCATCTATCTCCACACAGAAATACACACTGTACACATGTATACAGATGTTCATCTTGACCAGATGTTTCAGACTGCAGAAACACAGATAATCACTTGCCAATGCTGTGATTCCTTAACACAATAAAAGCTTGAGGTTAACCTAATGCTTAACAAATATATACTTGTCCTCATATCCCAACAACCCAGGTGTTAAGAACAACAATCAATTTTACTAACTGTGCAAAGTAATAAAAATATTGTTTTGCCTTACCAAACAAGGTGGATTTTTTTCAAAACTCCTATCTCTGTTTATTGGTTTAAGCAATGGAGAGGTGAGTATGGATAAATAATGTTTCTTCTATAAATCTGTCGGGCAAAACATTCCAAATCCTTAAGGGCAGGTCCAATGTCCATATGTAAGTTGTAACATATACAGAAAATTCTAACAATTATAAAACAATCATTTTGGCACAGTGTACCAGACATTTGGTATCAGTTGTTTATCATTATTATTTTCACTAGCTTTATTTAGACCTTATAACAACCCTACAAGGGAGACCTTATCATCCTTTTGTTATAAAGGTTATAAAGCTAAGACTCAAAGAGATTGAGTAAGTTGCCAAAGATATCTTGCCATTTATCTGTTCCTGGCCTGGGCAAGGTACAAAGTGCGTCTTCTAATCTGAAGCTCATTCCTTATTCGGTAAGCAATAGTGCCTCTTACCTAGTTTTACAGACACGAACTTTGAGAGGTGTGTCCAGGTACTCTTTATAGTGTATAGATTTCAATAAGTCATTCTCTGCGCGTAGATGCTCTGCACAGCCTGAGCTAAACTCAGTGAAGATTACCCCAGGCTGTGGAGAACAGGGAGCATCCAGCAACAATCGGTCTGTGTTGATCAGAATATGGAGCATTTTCCACTCGACTGTGTCCTCTAAAAACAGATCTATCCTCTAACAGGGCTTCATTATTTATTTCCCCATACAAAAAAAGAGACTCTTTCATCGCAAGCCAGTGGGAAGTGCTTAACTGATTTCTGTATATTACCTGAAGTAAAAGTGCTTTCTGTCCTTAGGGACAGAAAGCTGGGTGCTATGCCTTTTGCCTTCTTTTGAGTCCAGCAATCAATGTTGTGAATCAGAGAGACAATTAATCTTTATGTATTATTAGGGAACTGGGTTATTTTTAAAGTTAACAACAGTACAGCAGAAAGGAAGAAAGGAAGGAAGGAAGAAAGAAAGAAAGAGATAAGGGAAGAAAGGAAAGAAGGAAGGAAGGAGGGAGGGAAGAAAGAAAGAAAGAAAGAAAGAAAGACAGAAAGAAAGAAAGAAAGAAAGACAGAAAGAAAGAAAGAAAGAAAGAAAGAAAGAAAGACAGACAGAAAGAAAGAAAGAAAGAAAGACAGAAAGAAAGAAAGAAAAAAAAGGAAAGAAAGAGAGGAGGTAGGGGAAGGAAGGAAGGAAGGAAGGAAGGAAGGAAGGAAGGAAGGAAAGAAGGAAGGAAGGAAGGAAGAAAATAGAAAAAGAAAGAAAGAGAGAAGAGGGAAAATCTCCCATTCCTAGTTTTAAGGAAAATTCTACTGCCTTCCTCTGTGAGAATTGGCTATATCATCTGTGTGACCTTCTTTCCAACAGTAGGCCTAGGGACGGGAGGGAAAATATACACAAAAGTTTTTTTTCATGTATAGATGTTTGTGAACATTTGTAAATAAAGCAGTGAAAACGTTTATGTTGGCTCTCACCTGCCCACACACTGGATCTTCTGAAGAGCAGAGGAAAACCCTCCTCAGCCAACTCTACATCACAGCAAAGCCCACTGCAGCATCTCCAGCCCCAGACACGGAAGGTGAAAGGGACACCCTGTCGCGGCAGTCCCGGGTGCTTCCCCATTGTACAGGGAAGACAGAGAAGAAAGGGAAGCAGCTCTACCCTTGCTCCACCCTACCTACCAACCGCTGGAGCCAGGAACTTCCTTTCTGACCCTTAAACTAAAATTTCCCCCAAACGAAGGGAAACTACAACCTCCAAGTCATCCTCAGAGTTCTGATTTCCAACGTGGGTTTTTTTGTTGTTCTTGTTTCTTTTCTGATTTCAAGTCTCTCCCTAAAGTACATCTCCCACCTTCCAGAAGCATTCACAAGTTTAAGCCAACAAGAAGAGCCAGAAGCTTTTAAATGGTGAAAATTCCAGCACCCACACTTCCAAGATAAATGACCTTGGGCAAGTAACTCATCCTTCCAAGGAGTCGGTGGCCCATAAGAGGTGGGAAAACACCCGTTATTAGAAAGTTGTTGCGATTTCCACATAAAAATCGCACCCTTCTGGCGTGGGGCACGGTGCGCAAAGCAGCGGGAACCTGGCTGAGTCCACGTCCTCACTACCTAAGGTTTGGCCATCAAACCCTCTTTGATGATTTATGTTACCAATCGCTCGCCTCACCTCCGGAAGACGCCTCTTACCTGTCCCTAGTACTCTTTAGCTTTAGTCTGCAGAGCCCAGGAAATAAAATTCTCATTAAGTACTAGGGACTAAGTTAGCCTGGGTCCCCCCGCCCACCCTTGATCATTCGCAAATTGTTCAGTGCAACTCAGGCTCAGTCTTTTTTTTTTTTTTTTTTTAGTTTTTTTTTTGGTTTTTCTCAGGCTCAGTCTTTACATGCTCCAAGTAGGTGTCTTGGAGTAAGGAATGGATGGGGAAGTGACCCTGACCACAGACTCCAGATTGGGGATGTCAGGAAGGGTAGTAGGACAAAAAAAAAAAAAAAAGCCGGGTGCGGGCGCGGTAAGGGCGAGCCCGTCCTCGCTGCGACCCGGTCCCCAGCGCGCGAGGAGAGCAAAGGACGTCCGAGGGCGCAAGTACCTGAAGAGCCGGGCGGCCGTCTGGTTCCTCCTCCACGCCGTGCCCTGCTGCAGCACCCCCTGCACGATCTCCTTCTCGTTGGGCAGCCGGTAGACAGGGAAGACGTAGAGCCAACAGAGGACCACCACGCAGAGGGCGCTGGCCCCCACGGGCAGCCGGGTGCGCGGGAACTTCCACCCCAGGACGGCCATGGCCCCTCGGGACGTCTGTCGCCGCGCGCGCCCGCAGGGGCTCATAGCAGCCCGGCGTCCCGGGGGCGGGGGCGGGGGCCGGAGCCTGAGGACACCGCGGGGCGCAGTGGCAGCCGAGGGTGCCCGCACGGCCGGCCCCCCATGCACACACACACACCTTTTGGTCTCTTTCTGGCTTGCACACGCACGCACCGCTGCTTCGGCCCCCACAGCCCCAAAGGTCAGCGCAAGGATTTTGGAAAAGGCAACTTTTTCCAGGATCCCTTTCTAGGGGAAGCAACCGGCAGGCAAGTCACGAGCTAGAGCCATGGTCGCCTCCCCTGCGGAAGGCGGGCGCTGGGGGTCTCCGGAGCAGAGAGGACAGCGGCGGCGGCCGGAGCTCCCGCCGGATCTGCAGCATCACCGTCGCCCTGCGCCGGGGTCCGGGGATGGCGCGGCTCCCTCCCAGACTTCTGCCCGCCGCGTCCGCTCCGGAGCGATGCTCGGTGGCCCTTCGCCGCCTCTCCCCGCCTCCCGCGCGGCTGCGCCCCAGACACCCCCACCCGCCCCGACGCGCTCTCCGCGCCGCGCCAGGTCCTCGGAAATTTCCACGGCGCCCGGGACCGCTAACCCGCTCCCGGCTCCCCCGCCTCGCCCGCCGGGACCCCCGCTCCCCTCCCCTCCCGGAGAAGAAAAGAACTCGCTCTCATCGGTGAATTCCGCGGCGCGCCGCAGCCTTCCGCTGCGCCCCGACTCCGCAGACAGACGCCCGGGGATTGGTGGAAATCAAGGTCTCCCCCGCCCTCCCCCAGCGCGGAATTGCCTCCTTCGCCCCGCGCGGATCCGCGGCGCTCGCCCCTCTGCTGCCCTTGATCTCTGGGGACGGAGGCAGACGATGGAAATAAATAAAGAAATACAACAACAGCCCCCGAGTGCTGCAGAGAGACTGGGGGATGGAGACCCGGACCCTTCGACCCCCGGCCGGCGCGCCCGGGCTGCTGTCACTCTCGTCTTTCTCCAACTGTTCTGCGATTATTAACCCGCGGCGCGGCGCGAGAAAGTGGGCAGAGATTTATTCCTTCCTGGGCCCCCAGCCCCGCTAGCCGGTCCCGGAACCCGGGCTCTGGGTGACACCCGTCCGCGCGCGTGCGCCCGCGGAGACACGCGCGGACACACACACACACACGCACACACGCACACACGCACACCACACACCCCGGGCTCCGGCGCGGGCGGGCGAGCGCGCGCACGGGGCGGGGCGTGCACACCCGGGGTCCCCGCCTCCGCCCAGCCGGGAAACCTCCGCCCTGCCTGGAAAGGCGCTGCAGGCAGCGTCCAGATACGCAGCAGCCGTGCCCGAAGCGCAGACCTCGCGCGCGATAAAGGATAAAGCCTCCACCCTAACGGGGCTGTCTCCTCTCCCAAGTCCTTCTCGCTGCACCCACGAGCCGATCGCAACCCCGACCTTGGAAAAGCGCCACCCGCCTGGACCCGCCTAGCGGAGGGAGCCGCCTCCGTTAGCCATTTCTGCTCGCCCAGCGTAAACACACAGCTCGGCTACCTCCTAGCGGTCGTGCGTTCTATTTGCTGAAGCCCTTCTCAGGCGTGAAGTGTGCAAGGACAAAGAAGAAACCCTGCAGCCTCCGAACCCGGTCAGCTTAGTCATCACGAAAGCAAAACCTAAGGCCACAATTTGGGCTGCTCGGCTGATTAAGCCGCGGCGTCCTGGACGGTGTACACTGACTGCTGCGTGGCCTGGTGTCTTCGGAGCATCTTTCTTCCACTGAGAAGTGGAGCTTGAGAAGTTGGTGCAAAGTTATTTACCAAACAAGCAGTACGGTACGAATCACTGTACTGTCATTCTGTCTTGGAAGAATGACCCACTGCCTTCGGCTGGCAGGCGCGCCCGAGAACTAATCCATCTGTGTGTGTGTGTGTGTGTGTGTGTGTGTGTGTGTGTGTGTGTCTGTCTTTCTGACTCTGTCTCTCTCTGTGTGTCTCTCTTTGTATCTCTCTCTCTCTCTCTGTGTCTCTCTCTGTTTGTCTCTCTTCTCTATGTCTCTGTGTCTCTGTCTCTCTGTCTCTCTGTCTCCCTGTCTGTCTGTCTCTCTTTCTCTCTCTCCCTCCCTCAGATGAAGAGTTTAAATCTCCATTTAAAATCCTTCATTAAAATCCTATAAAGTAACCACCCAGCTCTCCTTTGTTCTGGAAAGGAATAAGAGAGAACGAGGGGTCCTTTCATACAGTTGCCAGGGCTGTGGGTAAATCACCTACCCCTCTCTTTTCCCTATAATTTAAACAAAACACAAAACATTCCAGTCTCTCTTTTCTTGTCCAGGTCCAAGGGATACTTGTGGAATAAAGAAGCCAACGAACAAACAAAAAGACATTTCATGATGAAAACGCCACATAGCTTTCCCCACTGAAGATCATACTGCACAGTGATGTTTTCCTACTTCCTTTGGTGACTGTTTTCTCACCTTGCAATCCAGTTTTAGTCCTTAATTTCCCTTAGTATGAATACAAAATTTAATGAGGCCGTTCCTTTCCTTCTTCCAAGTTCCAGCGCTGGAAAAATGACAAGGAGTAGGGGAGCTAGCACTGCGACACTAAACTTCACACTTTAAGCCTCACAGCAGCCCTGCGAGCTACTACATATTGTTATCCTGTTTTTCAGAGGACCAACTGGAGGCACATGAGACTATCCGTCTTACATCAACTTATTCTTTTTCAGGGTCTGCCTAGAGATATCTTGGGAGAATCTTAAAAAAAAAAAAACAAAAAATGAGTTAAGCAACCCCAAGCAACAAAACAAAAAGGGCTTGGGGTATTATTCTTTCCCCACTACGTAATAAAAGTCTGCTAACTTTCTTACACTGAGAATAATATTTTGTAGACTAAATTTACATTTATTTTGACTTTACGAAATTCTAGGTGCCCAAGTTGTAAGTAGAAAGACTGAAACATTGGTGAACCTTATTCTTCTAGTCAGTTCTAAGTTCTGCCAATTCTTTCTTTGTTGTGTTTCTAGAATACTATCCCACTTCCATCGTTGTAACTTGGATGCCAATTTTCCTTTTATCTCCTAAAATTCTCCCCCTAACGTTTTTTGGATCATTCACCTTAGGTACTTCATCTCAAGTATTTGGCTTTCTAAGACACTTTTTTCCCTTGCTGGGGATCAAATCCAGGGCCTCACGCCTTTTAGGCAAGTGCTTTATCACCGAGCTACAGCCCCAGCTCTCTAAGACTCTGTGTGTGTGTGGGGGGGGATTTAACCCAGGACCTTCATACTGAGCTGTACTTTTACCCCTCCTCTTCATTTTTTGAAACAAGATCTTGCCAAGTTGCTGTGTTACCCAAGGTAGGCTCAGACTTGCAATCCTCTTGCCCCAGCCCCCCAGGGTGCTGGTATTGTAGGGATGCTCACCACACTTAGCCCTGTAAGATTACTTTCATCTCTCCATCCTGCACTTGAACAAGGTCTACCAGTTGCCTCTATCCATGTGCCTTGAATCCACAGGCAAACAGCCAGGATGCACCATAGTCTGAGCAACACTGCGTCTCACCTTACATTCCCATAAACACAATGGCCTCCAGCCAAGTCATTCTTTGCTGTGTCTTCATCTTTTTTGTTCTTACTTCATTCCTGTGAGTCCCTTCATTTGAAATTCTGACACTTTCTTTGCCTATACAGATCTCACTCATATTCACAATCTCATCCTTTTTGTAAACGTTTATGTCCCCTCCCCCACATTTCAGTCCTGACCCTCTGTCCCCTGCTGATTGGTCAATGTTTATGAAGCTCTTTTAGCAGTACATTAAAAAATATTGCGCCATGATTCGATTTTTCATTTTGTTTTCTTATCAGCATATTGAATTTATAGGAGTTGACTTCTCAGTTATATTTTAAACTACTTATGAATAGATAATGATCAAATGCAAAGAAAAGGTCACCTTTAAAGCCAAGCCACTATGATAGGTGTAAAGATACAGCTGTGAAAAAGGCGACCACAGTCCCACTTCACACAGTGCATATAGTCACCATTCTTCTGTGCCCAACCAGTTTTTCGTGTCTAACAGAGATAAAATCACATTCAGAAACCATGCTTACCCATAATTCCTGCTAGTGTATCATAAGATGGACTTTTTCATGTTTTATAAAATGTCTATGGGACATGAAAAAATTGCCATGACAAGTCTGTATTCCTAACTTCAAAGTCTAAAGGGAAGAAATTCCCTCCTCCTTCATACCCCAATATCTTTTCTTCTATCATTAAAAATATTCAGAAGCCAATTTGTGTTGAATCCTATTTTAGTGACTTAGGCCGGTCTTTCCAGGAATTTACATTCAAATACATCTTTTACTATCTATTTTATAAGAGCCAGTGGAGACTAAATGCCCACGCCCTCTGGCATAATATATTCTTTTTTTTTCTGAATGAAAATATATATAAGACGCCAAACTGTGGCCATTGTGGATAACAAAGTTCACCTAATCGTTCTGGACAGACCAACTGTTAAGCGTACGTGACCATCCCTCTGGTCATGTTTATCTCGTTTAACAGGTCTCTTCTTTCACAGAAGAGTCATCTCCACTTATCTTCACACACCAAGTCTAACCAAGATCCACAAGCCTGTCTTAGTAGTTGGAAGCCAGTATTGGTCAAGCCACAATACTTGTTGCCATGGTGTGTTTGTGGTTTGGGTAAAATTGCAAAATTGTGGTACCTGTGCCTATGTAAATCTTAGGTACATTTTTTTTTGAGGGAGCCAGGAAACTTCTCTTTTTGGAGGTCTGGGGATGAATTATCAGTGATATATAATGAGTAAATCAAGCCAATAATCACCCTCTAGGACCCTCTGGTATTGTCACAAGGACCAAGTAGCCCTTGGGGTATCAGGCAGCCAGCAACACAAGAGGGCAGCTCATATCCTGCCCAGTTGCTTTAACAGGCTGTCCTCTTAGTTCACAGCAATGCATAATATCAGCTACAGGTGCCAAATCCACAGTGTATCCTCCCGTTCAGAGGTACTTTCCCTGTAAAAACTCCAGAAAGAATCAATACAGTAAATACAACCATGTAATACAACCTAAATGCCAGTTGCAAATTGCTTGTGTTCAAACAAGTCCTCAAGGGATGCCGATGAAGATCTTGTCTCTAAATTTCCCAAGTACACTCTTTGTTGCCTGCCTTTAACCAACACTGCATCTGGTTGCCCTGTGCATACACTGCCTCCGTCTGGACCACTGTGCATTTTATCCTTGTTTTATGATCTGCTGATCCAATCAGGTGAAACTTCTAGATTACACCACATCCTTAATTTGGAGAACTCTATATGCAGAGCAGGAAGCTCACTTCACTTTAAAGAGGAGTAAAACCTATCATTTAAATCATTCAACACTAAGCCGCCATTTTGTGGGACACCTATGGTTGGTCCTAAGGATGAGGCAAAAATATATTGATGGATACAACATACAGCTCCAGGACCAGAGCAAGTTGGGGTTTCTGTAGATACCATTTCCTTTTTAACACAATTCTTCTGGGCGAGTATTTCTTTTTCAGAATGAATCTGACATTCATTCTGGATCATAGAATCTTTTGCATCTCGGAATTACTCCAAATCCATGGAGAAATCCATGCTGAAGCCCAGGAAAAGGGCAACAATTATCTCTCAAGGAGAACACTTGTCACTGTGGCACTGGGTAACTCCATATTCAATATTCTTCCACAGTCCCTGCATGGAGCAGGAGAACAGTGTTAAAAGACTTCTGTAACAACCCTAGCCTGCATGTAACTAGATAGTAAAAAACTCCAAAGTAATTTGTGCATTCTGTCAAATCCCAAAAGTGCTGCTTTGAGTTACGGTCCTGTGCAAGTTTTTCAAAGCTTGTTTTTGCTTTGAATACCATTCAGACTGTTTGTTTTTCTTTTTATATTCCACTGGATGTATTCTTATAATACCACACACTGTTCTGAGCACCTTATTGGTTTTTACTATCTGTCTCTATATAAATAGACAGGGGTCTGCTGCAGAAGCCTTTAACACTATTCTTTCCACCTCAAGCAGAGACTGCTACAAGAGTACTGGATTTGGAGTTAGTGAGATGAGCTATGGCTCTCAGACCCATAATGTCCTACTGTTGCGGATTTGTCTTATTCCCCGGGGAATTGCAAACATAGTGGTTTATTTCATGCTTTCTCTTCATTGTCTCTCATGGCTTCCAATCAAAGTCCTCCCCAAGCGTTTAGCTGATTGAGCTGAAACCTGTGTTAGTCAGACAGCGCCGCCATCTTTAGCTCGTCATGTGTTCGATTAATCTTCCTGGGCCTCCTCCTCTAAGAGAGACTTACATCATGTTAGTGCATATATCAACTTGCATTTGACTGCGATCAAGTCTAAACTTTACCTCACCAGGTTGTCAAAATATACAAGGCAATTCAACTCCCTTTAAGAGAGGATGTTGAATGTACGTCAATCATTACCACAAAAAAGGATATTTTCCCTGAATTTCTTCTCAGATTGAGAAATAAAATAAAAAGTGACCGTAACTATCTCAGCAGCCAAATCACCTTAGACTGTTAGATTTCCTGGATGGCTTCCACCATTTCTGATGTGATGGGACTTATGCTTGTGCTACTTGAGTTAAGCCACAGTGAACCAGTCAGTGTACATGAGTCACCCAGGTAGATTTTCCCCATGGGCCAAAGTGGATGACTGTAAAGCAAGCTCTTGGGCATTAATATCCTTCTACTGTATTTTTATTTGGATTATTTTTGATAAGTTTTATTATACATATTTTAGGTTTACAACATGCTTTGTGCTATACACGTAGAGGGTGAAATGGTTACTGTAATAAAGCACAGTTACATAAAATCCCACATAGTTAATTTTTAATGACAAGAGCAGCTTAATTCCTACTTAACACAAATCTCTGACACTGTCCTCCTCATGCTGGACACTAGGTCTGCAGGTTTGTTCCTCCTCTATATCTGCTACTTTGTAGCCTGTAACCTACATCCCCTATTTCCTCCTGTTCCCCATCTCTTGTCCCTGGTAACCATTGTCTTATTCTCTACACCTGTATATTTGACCTTACAAAAAAGAATTCCATAAGTAACTGAGGTCAGGCAATAGTTTTCTTTCTGTATCTGACTTAACTTACTTAGTACAGCGTCCTCTGGATCTACCCGTATTGTGCCGAATGACAGAATGTCTTTCTGTTTTTAAGGCTGAATAGCATTATGTTGTATGTATGTTTAGTAGTCCTTATCCACATTCATTGTTCATTATTTTGATTTTGGTCCCATTACAGTTGACTGCGGTTCAACAATATTAAATTGAAAATTATAGAAAACAATGTTTCAAATCATGCCACCCTGAATAATATGATGAGATCTTGTACCATGGCACTTAGTTACTTTTCTCATTGCTCAGACAAAATACCCAACACCCAAAGTTAAAGGAGGAAAGGTTTATTTGGCTCACATTTTGTAGAGGGTTTCAATTCATAGCTGGCTCCAAGGCAGGGTGGCATGGTAGAAGGACATTACAGAGGAGAAGCAGTCCATCGCAGTCAGAAGGCAGAAGACAGCAAGGCAGCAAGTAGCCAACAAAAGCTATGACTCTCTTTCTGTCCCTTATACTCTATCCAGGCTACCTACCCTAGGGCAGGGAGCACTCATACCCAGAGTGGAGCAGTCTTAATCCTAGCATCACTTCCTGAATCAATCCTAGCATCACATCCTTGATCCCAGAATCACACACCCTAGATCCAGCCATCCCTGAAAAGCCCCACCTATGACTACATGAGGCTTTGGGGGGACATCTAGACACAAGAAATAACAGGTTCATCCCAAAAGGATACAAATCATCTTTTTGTCCAGCATACCTACACTACACACACCACACACACACACACACACACACACACACACGACCCAATGGTTAGTAACTTAGTAGCTAATTATATAGATTGTAGGATCAACAGCTGCAATATCACAATGCTTGTAATGAAGTAACCCTTATTTTACTTAATAATGACCTATATATAATATAACATATATTGGCTTAGCTACCATCTCTGGCTTCAAAGTACCTAGTGGAGTTCTTGGAATGTGTCCTCAAAGAGGGAAGATTGCTGCACTACATTGGCTTTACCTATTCATCTGTTGAAGGGCAC